GATTATCAGTGTTGGAACAACAACAAAGATATTTATCAAGATTGCAGCCAAAAAATATCAAAATTCGGAAATGTCCTTATTCTACATGATTACCAATAAAAGAAATATAAAACACATTTAAAGGGTGCCAATAATAAAATTAATAGAATACGACAAATACACCGCAACGATTTTATTGACACTTCCACGAGCGCACAGACAACAAGAATTTTTGCAAACCAAGTCTAGAAGCCCCCCAGTTACACGGCTAGAGACAGGCATCTTTTTTATTAATATCTCGGAAACTATAAGCGACCGCCATATAGCCATGTTTGTATTATTGAAATATGGTAAAAAATAAGGAAGGTGCCTGTGCCTAGCCGTGTAACTGGGGGGCTACACCCCACAGACCCCCGCACCTCGGCGGGGGAGGGCGCAAGTCTGTTGCACTTTAGCTAAAGTTACTTAACTTAAAGTTTAACAATCGCAAATTTAAGTGGAGGTGCCACAAACCCCGAAAAGCTACATAGGAAAAAATAATTAAAAACATTGAAAGGTTACGTACTTTTCGGCTCCCCCACTTGATTATCAGTGTTGGAACAACAACAAAGATATTTATCAAGATTGCAGCCAAAAAATATCAAAATTCGGAAATGTCCTTATTCTACATGATTACCAATAAAAGAAATATAAAACACATTTAAAGGGTGCCAATAATAAAATTAATAGAATACGACAAATACACCGCAACGATTTTATTGACACTTCCACGAGCGCACAGACAACAAGAATTTTTGCAAACCAAGTCTAGAATCCCCCCAGTTACACGACTAGAGACAGGCATCTTTTTTATTAATATCTCGGAAACTATAAGCGACCGCCATATAGCCATGTTTATATTATTGAAATATGATAAAAAATAAAAGATGTCTGTGCCTAGCCGTGTAATTGGGGAGCTACGTCCCACAGACCCCCGCACCTCGGCGGGGGAGGGCGCAAGTCTGTTGCACTTTAGCTAAAGTTACTTAACTTAAAGTTTAACAATCGCAAATTTAAGTGGAGGTGCCACAAACCCCGAAAAGCTACGTAGGAAAAAATAATTAAAAACATTGAAAGGTTACGTACTTTTCGGCTCCCCCACTTGATTATCAGTGTTGGAACAACAACAAAGATATTTATCAAGATTGCAGCCAAAAAATATCAAAATTCGGAAATGTCCTTATTCTACATGATTACCAATAAAAGAAATATAAAACACATTTAAAGGGTGCCAATAATAAAATTAATAGAATACGACAAATACACCGCAACGATTTTATTGACACTTCCACGAGCGCACAGACAACAAGAATTTTTGCAAACCAAGTCTAGAATCCCCTCCGGGCAGCGCGGCGGTCGTTCCCGGAAGTTAGCGACAGTTATAAGGAACTCTCAGGCCGGAGCCGACGATTGCAGCAGGACGGTAACGGAGTTAGACAATCTCTGGGCAAACGATAATTTGGCCCGACGGAATAAGTGTCCGGGACAACTTCGGGATTCATCGCGCTCACGTACAACCCTCTTACCCCGTTTTGTACGGCGTCATGGTCGCGCAACCGTTTCCGGGCCTCCTGTCGGCGTCGTGTTTACGGTACTCACGCGATCCTCGATTATCTACGTCGCTGAGAATTAGTCGCTCACCGTTGGAGTCGACTCGAATTTATTCAGAGGCGCTCCCGAGGAAGCTCGCACGTCCCGGCTCATGTTCATCGAGCTAAGAGAAGAGAGAGAGAAAGAGACAGAGAGAGAGAGAGAGAGAGAGAGAGAGAGAGAGAGAGGGAGGGAGAGAGAGAGGAGATAGGTGGATGGAAGAGAGGGTTATAGAACCTTCTCGACAGCTTAACAAAGTCACGATGCAACGAACCGTCATCCCGCGTCGCGGAGCACAATGACGAAGGCTTACAGATCTGCAAGCAACAGAATCGAGTGCTTTTGCAGTGAGGATACGAACGAAGAAATCGCGAATGAACACTCTCGGGAATCCACGGCAGTAGAGCGCACACAAGCCGCCCGGTCTTAAATTCACCGACGGATTTTGTAATCGATTTAAAGCTAATTTTACTTAAACTAAAACGCCGAAGGATTAGTAATTACCTTACTGCGAATTTGTAACAAGATTCAGTTACCCATTTTAAGTAACTTATTTCCTCGGAACTTCGTCCCACGATTTCTTCAACGGGATGCTTAATGTTGAATACGAAGAAATTGCGAGATTTATTACTGTCAACCGATATTGTATTATTAGAAACAATCTTCTACGATCTAATAAATAAGTTTTTAAGCCGTACAGAAGGCTTAAGATACACGCGTATTACTTAAATACCTGAACCTTGAGAAGTAAAAGAATACGCTGTCGTAACTGGGTGGGATGGCGGCTTGCACGGACTTATATTTACCAGATAAACGTCGATTTACTTCGTAAATGCTGCCGCAAATGTCGCGGAAAAGCGTGGAAATTCCCAAGGTGAAGGTAAATTTCGCGAAATCGCGCAGAATGGCGATAAGTAGGATGCAGATCCTGACCGCCCGAGGGAAACTGCCGGCGATTGTCGGCGGGATCGGGAGAAAAGCGGACAATAGAGGCGCTCGACTCATTTGCGAAGACGCATTGAAGAGAAGTTGCTACTCAGGAGGGGG